TTGTTTGTGCACACACACACACACACACACACACACACACACAGTTAAATCTAAATTATGTAGTTTTGATTTATTCTAGTTTTAGTTTGTAAAACCTGACTAAAGCTATTCTCTGCATTCTCAGAAAACCTGTGTGTCTGTTCGGTTGCATAAATATTTTTACACAGTTGAGTTCCACAGTATTTCATATTGAAAGTAAAGCCATGTTCTTACTTCTCCTTATTCTCCATTTCACATACAGACGAACAGAATCTGTGCAGTCATAGGTGTCACAACAGATATTTTGAGCTAAACGGATGTTGAGTACATTTCTGCGGGGTGAGACCACATCGTGTGTGTATGTTAACAGTGAAACACTTGAGCAGCAGAAGGAAACCAGAACTTGTGTTGGCATGTAAAATCCACGTCATGGAAAGTTGTGTTACGTGTCTGTCTGTGCGTGACGCTGACAGGTCTGGCAGCCTCTCATCATAGGTGATTACTAGGAGAACAGATTGAACAGATTAGGCCTTTACTGTGGTAAATGCACCAACTGTGTAGCTTCTTAAACACCACGTCTTACTATGAAACATGGCCTGTCTCTGTAATAAACAGCTGCACACAAAATGCCAACATACAGTAAAGATGGATGAATAAGTTGTGCTTTATTTATGGTCCTGTCCTTACTTATCTTTCTTGATTTGACCGTGCACACGAGTGATGTCACAGAGACTTTACCATGGCCATAGATAATGATGGCGTGTGTGTGTCTGGGGATTGAGGGAAGATCCATTTTAACAGAGCGAGTTGTTGACAGGAGACAGGAAGGCAAAGCGACTTTTCTTGGTTTAGCTATACATTCACAGACAGATGACTTAGCACTTAAAGTTTAAATTTCAGATTAATTTGAATGCATGAATTGGACTCACTGGTACAAAGTACCACTGTTCCTCCAGTGCAAAGGGAATTTTTCTGGTCAAACTCAAAACGTATGGTATATACGGTACACATTTCTGGTTGTAACCATCATTTGGGTCTGCAGCGTCAGACGATATGCAGATATGGGTCATAAAAGTTTTTTGAGATTTAGAGAAAACAAACAGCAAATAATGCAAATTACTTATTTGTGCCTGTGAAAATGTTGGCGTAGAAAGCAGATTTGACCTGGTTTGACTTTTCCACCAGGCAAGAAGAACAAGCTCCGTGTTTACTACCTATCCTGGCTGAGGAACAAGATCCTGCACAATGACCCCGAGGTGGAGAAAAAGCAGGGCTGGACCACTGTAGGAGACCTGGAGGGCTGCGTCCACTACAAAGTTGGTAGGTCACATTCTCCTGCCTGGTTTTAAATAAAAATATTTATGGGGGTTTATGTGCTTAAATACTACAAATGAAGTTAAGTTAAGGATATGGTTGACAATAACTTCTAAAACCACAAAATATTATTATGCGTCACTAATACATCTGATTGATTTAGTGTTTAAATGAAAACAACAGTGTTTGCTCAGCTAACCATCCTGAGTCTGTGTGGTCATACAAACATGCCACTGATAAAAGATGGAAGGAAAACCCTTGGTTAGGTAATAATGTGCTAAGGGCACCCAAATGGACATGTAACCACCGTTTCCTGTCTAAAATTCAGAATGTCCTCGGTGAGACTGGCACTTCCTGTTGGAAACTCCTCTCCACTCAGCAGAGCTGTCAGTCAAGAAAATACACTTCCTGTTGAGGGGTTGTACTCGTGCATCCACCAATTTCTCATCTGATTTCATTTTTGGAAACTGGCAGAGACTGAACCATTAATGGGAAGTTGGGGACTTTTAAGACATAAAATAAAACCAGTATGTGTTGGTTCAATTCAGTTTTATTTGTATAGCGTCACATCACAACAAAAGTCCTATTTCAAAGTTCAGAGTGTTTATTGTCATATGCACAGTTAGGAAACATGTTTCCCTGTACAATGAAATTCTTACTTTGCTGTCCACATGAATGTCACAAATATAAAGTAGATAAATAAGTAACACAAAATCTAAGGCACTTTAAGCAGCAAATGCAGCAATATAATAAAAATATATAAGAATATAATAGAGAATGTATGCTGCATGGGAGCAGCATGTGCAGCAGTCAAGAGTCAATAAACTGAGAAGCATGTGCAAGCTGAGAATATAAACAGTACAACACATATTTCCTGGTAATATACTCCTCAGCTGTTTAGGAGTCTGATGGCAGAGGGAAAGAAAGAGTTT